CCAGCAACTTCTCGACGACCATATTCTGAAATCGCAGACGATGCGCGGCTCGCCCTACGTCAAAGCTTTCGAGACCGATATGGTGGCCTGGGAGGAGAAGCTCATCAGCATGCAGGATATACTGGACCAATGGCTGCAGGTACTATGTCGTTACTAATTCTCTGTACTATTGCTTTGACCGTGTTTGAGGTTTCTTTTTTTGTACCTTATTATGAAATGAATAAATGTTTTATGGTGTTCGTTTTTCTTGGCCATAATTGGATTTTTCGTTAGTGTCAAGCAACTTGGATGTACTTGGAGCCGATCTTCTCTTCGGAAGACATAATGCGTCAGATGCCGACGGAGGCGCGCAACTTCCGCGACGTAGACAAGGAGTGGCGCGTGGTGATGATCGCCACGCACAAGGAGCCGCTGGTGCTGGAGGCTACGGACTTCCCCGGCCTGCTGAAGAAGATGCGGCACAACAACGCGCTACTGGATGACATACAAAGAGGACTTAACGACTACTTGGAGAAGAAGAGATTGTTCTTCCCGAGGTAAAAAATGTTATAAGATATCTATGGTATATCTATGTAATGAGATGTCTTTTAGTTATTCAGTCAGTTGTTCCTATATTTTCCTGAATCAGGCGGTGATTGAACATGTAACTTGCAGATTCTTCTTCCTATCAAACGATGAGCTGCTGGAGATCCTGTCGGAGACGAAAGACCCGATGCGCGTTCAACCACATCTTAAAAAGTGCTTCGAGGGCATCTACACACTGGAATTCAACGCCGCCGATGAGATAGTCGGCATGGCTTCTTCAGAGGGAGAGGTCGTCAAGCTGTCCTCTAGTATACAGCCAGCTGACGCTAAGGTCACTTTATGCTTTAATTTTAGGTTAGAAATAAAAAGAATAAAAAGTGATGGGAGAGTTCAGTTAAATGGAACTTTAACAAGAGATTTATTTACTATTATCCTTATTGTTGATTCACTACTTCCTCTTCCCAAAGTGCCATCCTCTTTTGAAGTTCGGCGATCATGAGGGCAATTTGCATTCTGAAGGTGTAAACACCGCGCTCTAAAAAATGAACGGATGCTCTTTCGAAACCATTGGCGGAGGTTTTTGAGTCTCTTCACGTTCTTCTTCGTCGTAATACAAGACAGAAATGATAATACTGTAACAGGGC